AAACCGGGATTCATCCGTGAAGAGAACACCTCTTCAACGTGCCAGACGCCATCGAATGGGAGCATTTGCCCATTCAAGTCGGTTACGACGACGAACCGGAGTCAGGTCGAGACCCCGATGAGGACGACGAGCATGCAGATGAGCTTCCCTGAGACGGTTTCTGACAGTTTGTGCAGAAATTGTTTGGTTATGCAAACCGATTGTTGCAGCAGCTGTCCGAGTGGCTGGTCTCAGACGATCTTGGAGGTGAACATGCTGGATGTGGAGGTCCTGGGCTGGTGTGGTTACACGTGGTCTGCGGTTGTGAGGCCAGTTGGATGTACTGCCAAATTCTCTGAAACGCCTTTGGAGACGGCTTATGGTAGAGAAATGAACATTCAATTCACGGGCAACAGCTCTGGTGGACATTCATGCTGTCAGCATGCCAATTGCACGCTCCCTCAAAACTTACGACATCTGTGGCATTGTGCTGTGTGATAAATCTGAACATTTCAGAGTGGTCTTTTATTGTGGCCAGCCTAAGGCACACCTGTGCAATAATCATGCTGTCTAATCAGCATCTTGATATGCCACACCTATGAGGTGGGATGGATTATCTCGGCAAAGGAGAAGTGCTCACTATCACAGATTTTTTCAGATTTGTGAACAATATTTGAGAGAAATGGTTATTTTGTGTATATAGAAAATGTTTTAGATCTTTGAGTTCATCTCATGAAAAATGGGAGCAAAAACAAAAGTGTTGCATTTCTATTTTTGTTCAGTGTATGTGTTATATTGTTGGGAACTGTCCCTTTAAGAGGCGGTCTCTAGACAAGAGGTTTAAGACTCTGATTGCATAATCACAACATCCCAGGTTGAAATGCGGCCTGGTCACACAGTCTCTCTCTCCCCTCATTTTCTATTGAATTTCTGCTGTTAAAGTCAAGCTTAACATTTCCCCCAAAAAGTATGAAATTCAATGTTTTTAATAGACTCAACACTCTCCAAATATAATGTTTAAAATGATTGGACATAACTTAACTTATTTTTAGAAATATTTTTTAGATACCAAAATGCAATTTAAACGGTTAAAACCAGAAATTTAGATATTATACATTTGGTAACTGCTGACCCCTAGTGACTGTTGACATATTAGTTTACAGCCTAAATCTACAGTGTTCATACGCAGAGAAGGAAGAAAAAAAACATCTATTTCTGACATAATTCTGTAGAAGTTTAGGTAAACATTTTCAGCCCATGTTCTTCATGAGAATAGAAACTACAAACCACATTTGATAAGAGCGTCCTTCCTGTTCCTGTAATAAGATGGCAGCGCCTGATAAACCTGAAACTTGAACACTTGTTGAGATTGGATTACATCGAATCTTCTCTGTCTTCGTTCAAGGAAACTATTGAAACATCTTCAAGATGAAGTGTATTATTGTTCTTATTTACTCCATTGTTTTAAAAGTTTTTCTTCATGTGTTGTGGAGCTTCACCAGAGTGATCCACGTTCCTTTTTTCTGCTTTTGTTTGACTGCTGGACTCACGGTGTCCTCTTCCATCAGGATCCTGGACAAGCGTCAAGACTGCAATCAACTGGTGAGGATTCAATCTATTAAACTATAAGTACAATCAATATCATAAAAGTCCACTTGTTGTTTTTAATTCATCAATTATCATATGTTTTTTTCCCAGGGTCTTAAGAACTGCCAAATTAGTAAGTATCCTATTCAGCAAATTAGTCGCAAAAAGTTCAAATGCTTGTGTACTGTATAGACATCGAGAATATGTTGAGTGGCATTATTTTGTGAAACAGTCTATATAATATATATTATATATATATATATATATATACATTTGGTGTTATTATAAGCCTGGATGAATGATTTGTGCAGAAAAATATTATTTTAATTAGACACTTAAGCATTTATGTGATTCACAAACAGTAAGTTTAACATATATTCACAGCATTATAATTGACACACTGTTCCTTATATCTCAGAAAACTGCCCAGACGAGCGCATTGTCAAACCTCGACAACATGCTCCTAACGGCCCAGAAGTGGGTCCCCATCATTTGGGTGTCTGGATGGACGAACACGGACCTGTTTCTGTTGTGAATGTGTCATGGACAATAAAGTCAGATGGTAAGTACTGCTAAAATCTATACGTCATTTTAAAAATACACTTTGTTTATTGTAGCTCACATGTAAAAATGCATCAAATACAAGTTGTGAACCAACTGGTATTTCTTTATAGGTGAAAATAATAATACAAATTAAATTCTTCTATTCACAGGAAATGTAAAAGTCCTTCGGGGATCACAGATAGATTTTCTGGATGAAAGTACAAATCAAAGTTTGTGTGTGCAGTTTGTTTTCAACCTCAGCAAACAGCAAAATCCAAACCTTAGTAAGGTGAGATTTGAACATACTTGCTTAATTATCTATGAGTATCAAAAGTAGTATGGATGTTACAGATATGTTTTTCTTTATTAGTGGACATTTTCCTTGGATGGAGTCGTGGTAGAGCCTCACCATTCGTATAGAGTGTCAATTCTTAATCTGCCAGAGCCTGAAGATGAACCCGAGAGTCTTAGAATGAACATTACCATCCCAGGTGAGTGACCTCCAGATCCCTGAAATCTGCATGAGAAAAACTGAAAAAACATTTATTATGAGTTAGAAGTTTGTTTGTACAGCAGACTAAAATGTATTCTGTGTTTTGTGAAACTACATTGTGTGATCATAACAGAAAATATGGTATGTATTATGACCCATGTTAAAAAAAAAGCAATGTAAAAATATCCGCTCTTGAGTCAGACAGTAGTAACAACTTCATCCCTCCCAAAATATCCCTGTAATACATATAGTGACAATGGCTCTTGAATCAAATCGGTGTCTAATCTTCTTCATGTAGCCTAACTTGTTCCCTCATGGCCAGGATGTGATGACACGAGAATCCAAGAGGCCCAAATGTGTCTGGAAAATGGTAACTGTAAATCTACATCTAACAGATTTTAAATCAACCGCTGTTAACAATCCTGGACCATTTTAACATTATCCTCTGCATGTGTCGTTATTTTTAGGTAGTCTTTGGGATCCTCACATTAATCATTCGGTGGATCTCAATAAAGGGCTTGGAAAGTTTTCCATCAATGTGCTTTTTGAAGCAGCACAATATTCAGAGAGATACCAAGTATCCATCCACAGTAAAGGTTTCAATTCCTCAAAGAGTGTCTCAAAGGTGATTACACTGAATTTCTATCTTATGTTACCAATGATGACAAAAATGACTATATTATGAGACTACGATCCTGATATACTCCTTGTTTTGGAAACATTATATCATTATGGTTTTCTCTATCTACAGGAAAACAAAACATGGCTGACTGTGACATTTGAGTTTGGGTGGAGGCAGCTTCCACAGTGTAAAATGGAGTTATTGGTAAGTTTCATTTAAATGTAAGGTCCCATCCATACCAGTTAATAAAGTAATCTTATATGAACTCATACAACATTATAAGCTAAACTGACTCTGCTTATTTTTAAGATTCAGCCGTTTTTTGTTCGATGCAAGAATGACTGTTGGCGTCCCAAGAAAGATATAGATTTATGCAAGTGTAAGTATGATAAGTAAACTATATTTACCATGCAGTGGTTCCTAACCGTATTGGCTTGAGATCTCTAACACTAAAGCAGCGATTACTTGCTTCCCCTTGTTGAAGGTCTATCAGCTTTTAGAACTTTACATTCATCAGATTGTCGAAGAATAAATAAAATACAAAAAACTATATTTATTCTTTCCTATCTCTTTAATCATCCTGAAAGCCACTCAGATGTATCTTTAGACACACAGGAGGTTTGATTGATCTAATCACATTTGTTTGTTTTTCTTTAGATTACCCACCCCGGACTTTAATTATAAAGGCATGCTTGGCACTGCTTGTCTTTGGTGGTTTTCTTGCCTTTTTACTGTGGAGAGCTTTCCAGAAAGGTTGGCTTCTTACAAATGCACAGTAATGAATAGAAAACGCATCTTGAATTGATAATTAACCAACAGATTTCCCTCTTTTCTCAGATCCTGTGAACTCATCTTTATCTGCTGCCAAACAACAACCAGAAGGTTTTCAAGTTCGAGAGAGAAGAAGACTCCTCGTCATTTACTCCCTCGACCACCCTTTATACAAAAACATTGTCCTCAAGCTTAGTGCATTTCTGGCAACCAAATGTGGTACTGAAGTGTTCCTGGATCTGCTGGACTCCACAAGGCTGGGAGTGTTGGGAAGCATTCAGTGGCTGGACTGGCACAGGGAACAAATTGAAAGCTCTAAAGATAAGATACTAATCCTGTGCTCAAGAGGAGTTAAAGCCAAATGGAAAGCCATGTGTGGAGACAAACAGGTATTTCTGAGAGAGGACGCCCGCTCACCTATGGGTGACATGCTCAGTCCAGCCCTCAGCCTCATGGTACCCCATTTTATCAGATCTGCGTCATTTGAAAAATACATAGTGGCTTACTTTGATGATGTTTGTTCTGAAGATGATGTTCCTTCACCTTTCAACATTACATTGAGATACAAGCTGATGAAACAGTTTGAGGAGCTCTTTTTCAGGATCCTGAACACTGAGAAGCACAAGCCCGGCATAGTGAATCACATTGATGGGCTTTCAGAGGAAAATTACCACCAGTGTGCCTCTGGTAGAGCCCTGAGGGACGCCATAGAGGCTTTTCATGCATACCAGCTGGAGCATCCCCAGTGGTTTGAAGAGGAATTACTGGAGAGCTCAAAGACCTCATCTGAAATCTGTGATGATGCAAAATCAACCATAAACCTCATTACATATCGTGAACCTGAATCAGCTCATGTCACCAGTCATTTAAATACACAAGAAACTGATTTCACTGTCAACACATCAGGACTTTACGTGGCTGAAGAGCTTCAAATGTGCACTTCTGTGGAGTTCAACCAACTTATATCTGAGAACATACAGCATGTTTGATGAAATTATGGTAATGTTTTGGGACGACAATGACGATCTTCTCCACTGTTGGTGGAAACTTTGAAACATTCATCATGGGCCATACAAACACATGTTTTGTCTATGGAAATGGCCTTTGTGGAGGCCTGCAATTTCTGAGTGACTTTCTAGTTTTACCAAGTTTATGCTTCCCTTCATATCAGTGCTGCAGTTATTTTTTTTGTATGCTGCATTAATGTTAATATATCTTGCTTTCACTCAGGAGACAGATCCAGAGTAGCTATAGCACAGAGATCTGAGGTTGATGCTTTTGGTCTGTGTCAACAACGTTTGGGTCAAAGTTCAGCCTACTGGGCAAAGTTTCTATCGTTTCTGTTACACTGAAGAAGGTAAGACTAGTCTTGATTTGTGACACTGTTTTGTATTATAATTAACTGATTTAATCTAATGTGCTATGGACTTTTTAATACTGTAAAGCATGGACATGTTTATTGTATTATCACAGGTAAAATGTGTCCCTGCGGCATAAAGCATGTGACCAGAAATAAGTAAATGTTGATACTCCTTTGTATGATGTACATCATCTGTTCATTATAATTCCAAGTGTTTGTTGGTGTGTTCCTGATCCTCTCTGTGTTGTTGATGAGATATTAAAGACTGTTACATTTTAAATCTGACCCAAATCAGATGTAAAGTATTTACTCAATGTAGTACATTTCAGCCAACTCACACCAAGTGCATACATGCAGTGGTAGAAAGAGATAGCAAACAGACCCTAACTCTAGAAGTTGGTTTCTGAGAGTGGCCCCAAAAAAGGGGGGAGGTTGTGGGAATTTGTCCCAACTAACTGGAGCAAAGAAATCCTCACAATGGCTGAGTTGGACTTCTGCCTTGCAGTGACAGAGAACACACTGCAGGGTGTGATGCAACTGGATTAGATTTTTCTTTCAAGAAGCTGAGGTAATGATGTACATAGGTTTTATTTTGACAAGCACATTGTTTGATACTTGCAGTTCTTTGTTTGAATTGGTTTATACGCTATATGCTGTTTATTATGAATTGTTTTAATCAAAGAAAGGAGTCTAAATAAGTCAAACTTATGGAAAATATATATAATGAAATCGTTTTTTAATGCGTTAATGTTTGCGATTCATTCTGAAGCTCTTATTGACGTTATCTTTCCAATATTGTCCAATGTTAATTTTTTTAATGTATGTTGGAAAGAAGACATTTGGATTACAGCAAAAGTAAGAACATTTTCCAATCTGTTGAATTCTGACTCTCAAACTGAAATGACCTCAGAGTGCCCAAAGAGAGGAGGCGCTAAGATCAGTCTGAAACGTTCAGCTGACAGTTTTTTTTCTAAAAACGTTCTGTTTTCAAGGTTTCTCTCAAAATCTGAACAGAATGAGGATGCTGAAGAGAGCTTCTGCACTCCTCCTGAGAAGAGGAATCACAACTTATCAAAGCAGATTGTGCAGAAATGGTAAATGCATCCTTTAATCATATCTATATTAAAAACTGTATAACGTATAAAAGAGGGATGATAATAATGATGATCTAATCGTGCATCTTCTCTTAGACAGCCTCTTCAGAGTTCATTCATCTGTGTCTGAGGCGCTGGCAGAAAACAAACCAGTGATTGCTCTGGAGAGTACTATTATCACACATGGCATGCCCTATCCACACAACCTGAGGTACCCTGTTTAAAGAGTCAGTCAACTCTGATAGCAGCAGCTAAAAGTTACATAAATCATTGAAAATTAGTGCTACCAATGTTTTGATGCAGCACAGCGAAGGAGGTGGAGGACATTGTACGATCTGAAGGAGCCACTCCAGCCACGGTTGGAGTGATCGATGGTGTCGTCCATGTTGGTTTATCGTCAGAGGAGCTCGACCACCTGGCCCGCTGCAAGAGCTCCATGAAGGTGTCCCGCCGTGATCTGCCCTACGTCGTCAGCAAAGTGAGACCACAATACAATCACTTATTTAAAAAAAGAATCACTTTCTAAAACCTGAAGGCCGACCTGGTCGCATCAACTTATTCTAATTTAATCTATTTACTTGTACTCTAATATAAAATAAACACATCATATGGAAAGTAATGCAACTGCAGGAGAGGAAAAATAATACTAAAATACTTATTCAGAGTTCTCTCCTATCTATACAAATAATACATAACATTATTATTAGCATTAGACAAAAAAAAGCAAACAGTAGGAAAAGACAGAAAACAAACAACAAAACAGACCTAAAATAAGTATATATGTACAACCAACAAAACTATCTTGCAAAAAATGTCATGAAGAAATTAGAAATATCTTAAATTGGGTCCTAAAAGCTGACAAGGAAGTTAACAATTTCAGTGTCATATTCTGTGAACTTTGAATATCTTTTCACTACTGCTGTCCTGTGTGATATTTTCTCAGGGGCTCTCTGGGGGAACAACAGTGTCGGCCACGATGATAGCTGCACATCGAGCTGGCATCCCTGTGTTTGTCACAGGGGGCATAGGAGGAGTTCACAGAGACGGAGAGAACAGTAAGCAGGTTTATAAGTACTAAAATAAAAAGTGAAAACAGACTCACTGACTGGATTTTTTGGCATTTTCACATAGAGATTCAACAATGTGTCATAAGGTGCTATTTTATGTTAAACTGGATTTATTGATAACGATGAACAATTATGAGTTAACATTATTCTTTGGAGGTCAAATAAATGCCTGGTGATGGAATAGTTCACCCTGAGTTAGGTCTCCATGAACACCCCAATAGACACCAACACTTTCAGAACAGTACTATAAGTTCTGTTTGTACATAATAAGATAGTATCATTTTACTTTTTATGTGAAGACTTACCATTGGTCATGATTATTCCTCCAGGTCTGGACATCAGTGCAGATCTGACAGAGCTCGGCAGGACTCCCATTGCAGTCGTCTCTGCTGGTGTAAAATCTATTCTGGACATCGGTCGCACCCTGGAGTACCTTGTGAGATATGAGATAAAAAAATATATAAAATCAATGAAATATAAGAAAGATATTGGGCTGTATTATATTCCTGTTATTGTATATTTTTTTAGGAGACACAGGGTGTCTGTGTAGCCACCTATGGAGCGTCTAAGAACTTCCCAGCCTTCTTCTCTCCACAAAGCGGATTCACTTCTCCTTTCCATGTCTTCAACCCTGAGGAGGCTGCCAAACTTATTGGTATACTATAAATTCATATCCTTAAAACACAGATTCAATGTCTACTATTTATTTTAAACTATTATGAATTTGTTTTTGTGTCGTTCAGCGAGCACTCTGTCACTGGGTCTCCAAAGTGGCGTCCTGTTAGCCGTGCCCATCCCAGAGAAGCATGCAGCCGCCGGTAAGCTGATAGAGGAGGCCGTTCAGGCTGCAGTCACAGAGGCAAGGTACAGAGAGTCGCTGTGGCTTATAATCTGTTGAACTTTTGTTTAATCAACACTTCAAAAAGAGTTCAGAAACGTAAAGATCTGTCTGGATCTCTGGACTTTCTGTATTTGTTTTGTTTTTCAGTGTTAAAGGTATAACAGGAAGAGATGTGACGCCGTTTATTCTTCAAAAGGTCAACGAGCTGACTGAAGGAAAGTCCCTTCAGGCCAGTATCCTTCTGAAAATCTGAATTATTCAGAGCTCAAGCAGAGACCAGGATCATATCAAATCATTTTGAAAGGAAAAGGCACAGTGAAGTCTGATAACGTTTTTTCTCAAAGGCCACAGAATGTTTTCATGCTGTATAAACACGTAAAAAATCCGTAACTTCTTTTGCTCTCAGACATTGCTCTCATTCATAACAATGCTAAAGTTGGCAGTCAGATAGCCTGCGCACTGTCACGACAAATGTCTGAGAGAAAGTGCAGAGGAAACACCAATCGTCATGGAAAACACTCAGACTCAGATATAGTGAGTATAACAAATGTACAATGGAAGATTTTGTCAAATACTGTCACACTACAGTACCCACAATGCTGTTCTCTTACAGGTTGTCATTGGAGGAATAAACGTTGATTTTATTGCAAAAGGAAAAGCAGAAACACTTATTGTAAGTTACATTAATTCAATCGACTGCAGATCACGTAAAGACAGATTACTGTAGGTTACTTCTGAGAAATAATGTGTTATCTCTTTCAGTTTGGACAGACAAACCCAGGAAGTGTGTGTCAATCATTTGGTGGTGTAGGACGGAACATCGCTGGTGTGTTTTTATCTGATTATGTACATGCACATGTTTTCATACGCACTGTGAAACCGATTGTCCCACTCATTTTCCTTCCAGACTCTCTGAGTCGATTAGGCCGCAGCCCTCTGTTCATCTCAGCTACTGGAGCTGATTCACACAGCGAGGCAGTGCTACACTATTGTAAACATATGGTATGTAAACATCAACAGTTATTTATCACCAAGCATGATTCAAATAGAAGAAATTATATTAAAGACTGAAACTTGAAATACTGATTTGGAAAAGCCAGTTAAAGGATTTGGTTCATCATTTTAGGAGTGAATTTTGTTTACCTGCCTTTTTCATTTCCTTGTAATACATACACCAAGGGTATTTCAAAAAGCACCCAGACTGTACTACTCAGGTCTCACTTGAAATGAAATGTCAAAGTGACTTGCTGATTAAATACAATATATAATTTGTTTTGCTTATATGTTAATGTTAACCTGACTTTTGGTCCTTATTTCTGTAAGAACACAAGTGGTGTGGCCAGGTTAGAAGAGCAGAGCACGGCTACGTACTGTGCTGTCATCACTGCTAGTGGAGAACTGAGTCTAGGATTGGGAGACATGGACATTCATCAGCAGATCACAGCGCAGTATGTAAGTATAACAAGCCTCTATTTTAGCAAGGCTACAGACAAGGATTTGTGATCAAATACCATATAAATGCAGGTAATTCTCTCCAATTCGCTCCAACACTGTCCAACATAGTCATTTTCCAGTTTCCAGTTCTGAATGTGTATATTTATTGTTTTTTTTTACACTTCCAAAGATTTTGAACTGATTATTTTTAACAAAATAAGATTAAAAAAATAAAAAATTGCAACCCAAGTTTGTTTTATATATATTTTTATTATTTTTTTGACGCACCTCTTGTTCTGAAATGTGTCATGGAAATGAAGTGTATTGACTTAATATCTGTTTGTAGGTGTCACAGTTTGAGAAGCAGCTTTCCTCAGCCACTCTTGTGTGTCTGGATGGAAACATCCCTGTCTCCACCATCGACTATGTTTGTTCCATTGCCAAAAAACACAACATCAATGGTATGCATGGAGAGATGTTCACTATTAATGATCATGGTCAGAAGCTTTCATTGACTCTATTACAACACAATCAATGTGTGTCACAGTTTGGTATGAGCCGACAGATTCAGATAAAGCCTGTAAGCCTTTCCTGTCCGACGCCTGGAAGTCCCTTTCCTATTCATCCCCAAACCTGGCCGAGCTGCGCACCATGAACAAAACTCTGGGCCTCCCCACACCTGAAGGTAAAGTGTATTTATTGAATCTGTCATGGTTTAACCCCTAATTTACTTCTTTATCCTGGCAAACGCATAACCCAACATACAATGACCAGACTCAGGGACATTTTTGTCAGGCCATAAGACTGCTAAACTCCTGAGCTTGTACTATTTTTATTGTTTTTTGATGTGTTTTTAAAGCCCTTTGAATCTTTTAACAGTGTGTGAAGTTAGTGTTCTTGTGAAGTAGTGTCATTGAGGATGTGGTTTTGTTTTGTCTTGTGGGTTGAAGTGCTGCCTAGCTCTGTGGAGGAGGTGCTGAGTGTTGCTGTGGCTCTCTCACGCCCCCTCCTGGAGCATATCCACTGTCTGGTGGTGACTCTGGGGGAGAGTGGGGTGCTGGTGTGTGGAGAGCATGAAGCAGGCTCTGTCAACCTGCAGCCAAGGAAACAGAAGAAGGTAAGGGCAACTTATATTCAACCCTTAACTTTGGCTTTTTTTGTTAATGTACATACATTTTGGAAAGGGTGTTTTTTCCCTGAATTTTAGAAGATCAACTCCTATAAAAAAGCTGTGTAACCAAACACAGTCACTGAGGCCCTTTAAGGACAAAGCCCCCATAGAACCCCATTATAACCACAATTTCTGATTCTACTACCATTACAGCATATAATCATGCGTTTTATAACATTGGGCTATCAATCTAGGTCCATGGCTTCAAAATGAGTTTAACAAAATGTGTGTTATTTTCCTCAAAATAATAGTTAAAATGCAGCCAAATCAATGCTGTTGCTAATCAAACACTAATTGCATACTGACGTGAAAATAAAAAGTGAACATTTTTATTAATATATGATTTTTATGAGAATTTTTTGACATGGACATTGCTGTTCTCTAACAAGATCAGAGGAACTTTTGTTAGGTGAAGCATTAGCTTTAAACTGATGATAATTACGTTGAGGATGATGATAATTCAGATGATGATGACAACAGTGAAAGTGACAGTTTACTGAACTATACGTTTGCAGAAGAGGAAGCTCTGTGCTGTCCACTACCCAGCGCTGACTGTGACGTCAGACGAGACCATGAATGTGTCAGGAGCAGGAGACAGGTGCTGGACATTTAGTTGACTGTACTTTCTCGTATACATTCTTTTTTTAATTTCAAAATTTCTTTCTGCTTCTGTTTCATCCTCTTATTTCTCATGAACTTTTTCTCTCACTTACAAAATGATTGTAACTCAACAACATTCAAAACAAAACAACACTTATCCCTTCCCTATCTGCAGTCTCGCAGGTGCTTTGATGGCTGGGATCCTCCAGCAGCGAGACACAGACAGCTGTGTTCGGATGGGGCTCCTGGCTGCTCGCCTCTCTCTGGCGTCACCACATCCTATCGCCCCAACGCTCACCTTCGACTCTGTGGATCCCAACAAAGTCAAGACTCAAGAATGGCCAAAACCCAGCTTCATGTGGATTGATTAAAAATGTTAAACACCATTTTAAAACCTAACTAGGGAAAAGTAGAAAAGTGGGTCTAATATGCATTAGTTTTTCAAATATTTTTGTCAGTTTGATAATTTTAGGCCTTTTAGTGTGTGATTGGATTGTGAAGCGTGATGTATAAAGATTCTACATTAAATCATTTAATGCACATTTTATATGATATTTGATATTGGTCTAAAGACAAATAACTTAAACACTCTTTCTTGATTACAAATCCTTGTGAATAAATTATAAAATGGTATAAGGTAGCCTGATGTGGTGGTTTATTTCTTAAAATAAATAAAGATACATATTTAACAGGAAAGATAGAGAAAATACTATAGTCATTTTCTTGTGTTTTTCCTGTTTTCTTGTTGTGTAATTTAACTCCTAACAGTATTTTTATATTTATTAACTTAACTAAAATCATTAGTCCAATGTTTTCTGTCAAAAAAACGTAATATCAAAAGAAAAAGAATGGACACCCTTCAAAAAAGGAAGAAAAACAAGAAAAAAAATGTATTGGCATAATTCATTGACAAAAAAAAGTAACAGTACTAATAAAACCATAATAATATTACAAGTAAAACTTTACCTGCAAATGTTCTTTCCTACATATTAAAGAAAAACACAATGCTTCAGTTCTTATCCATAACCAGCATCAAACTCCCTTTATCTATCTGGAATATTATTTTTAAATGCACCCTTCCAGTCCCACCCATAGGGTCCCACCCTGGCCCCACTTCAGCCGAAAACGTCATTTCCCACAAAGCATCTGTCCTTCTGCGCAGACTCAGTTGCTATGAACACTTGCCCCACTCCCTCCTCCCTACTTTAATGCTAGCTAAGATGGTGGTTTAGCGTAAATTGTCTCCACTATACCAAGAAAAGAAAGGGGCGAAACATCTCTATAGCCTTTTAATCACAACAGAACAACATAACTACGGTTATCTTAAGTGACCGGTTATAAGAATTTTGACATTTCAGACACATTGGCTACCAGTCCCCGCCCAATTTGGTGTGACTCCCTTTGGAGAGGAATCCTAAGCTAAATACGGACAGGGTAAGTAACGCTAGCCGAGATGCTAGTTGCTAGCCAGCTTCCATCCTGCCATAATAAATAAAGGGCAGTTGTGTGTATGTCACTATTTTACACACGGATACTGGAGTATTCTCTGCCCAGTGTCCAGGTAATCTGAATGTCGTGAGAGCCATGTCAATTGTTTATAGTGCCAACAACTTGTTCCTAGGTTAGCATTAGCTTGTGTAGGCCTCATCGTAAACTCTGATGAGAATGTAGCATTCTAGCTATGCCGATGCTAGCGGTCAGCTTTAAGCAAGCTGTCAGTTAATATGTGAGAGAAGGCGTATCGTTGTGGCAGAGGTATTTTAAAATGTCAGTATGGAGTAAATAATTACCTCTGTGTTTTGGTTTTCTGATTAAACTCACAACTGCTCCTGGATACTTGCTATTAGTTAGACCGGCTTCTTTCACCAATTCGCGGCTAATGTTAGCTTAGCCTAATTTTAGTCAAATAACATCTGTCATAATGTACGATCCAGTAGAGAGAGAAGCTAAAGTTACCCGCTAGGTACTCAGGCTTCATACACGACTTTACCAATCAGCTGGTTTCTGTTAGGGAAGCAGGAGAACTGTGACACTGTACGTGTTCATGTATCTGTGAAATGTTGGCACATATTTCAAAATGTTGGCATTTCCCTGTTATCGTTGAACTCAGCTGTACACTGTCAGGTTTGATCAGTCTGGGTTTATCATGAGCTGGCCTAGTGGCTGCAGTGTTGTGTTGAAACCGGTGTGTACATGCTTAAAGAATAAGGTCTCAACTGTAAATAAATGCACTTGTTTCCATTTTAACGTGTATCATGACGATGTGTCAAATACTGTCAACCCTTGGAAGATGCAACAACATCCGCATTATCCCTTAAACATGATGACAGCTGTTTTGACTTGTTGTCTAAGCTGTGATCTTGTATTAGGGTAGTCTGCATTACACGTATACAGTATGTCACAAAGCCCTGTAATGATTAAACCTTTGTGGAGGTTAAAATGTTTGAAATGTTTCAAATGAATGTTTATTTAACTCAATTTCTGGAGGCTGTTGCTTTGTAACCTATCAGAGCCCAAGTCTATTTTCTAAATGTCTAATTTTGTTTGATAAGTCGATTTTCAGAATACTTTTAATTTCAGGCTTGACTAATTGTTTCAGCTGAAATCTACTGAGAGCCATTTCCAATATTTGTGCTACACTCTGTGGCGGAAATGAAGGAGACGAAACATTAGAAACACAATGCAGTTAACAGCCAGTACAATGTTTGTTGTAGTTTGTCAAACCACAGCCTATAAATCAACCATGCAGTTGAATCAACTCATCTCTTCAAAGTTTCATCAAAATGGTGTCAGTAGATTAACTAGTTGATTGTGGCGTTTCCTTTGCTGATAAAAAGTTAAATGCATTTTGGTGAGCTCTGTCTGATATTCTGACCTTGGTGGTCATATCGTCGGTTTCAGAGGCTTTACTATCCAGCCATGTGTCAGGACGACAAGTTCAGCTGATATTATGTTGAATCATGTCATGATGGAGCTTTTAAACGTTGTTTGTTTTTTCAGCCTTGTGCTCTGACCAGCTTCGACGCTCACCATCGCCGTGCCATAGGATGTCCCACAGCCCTGAGATGAAGGACGACCCCATGGAGTGCCCTCTGTGTATGGAGCCGCTGGAGATTGATGACGTCAACTTCTTCCCCTGCACCTGCGGCTATCAGATCTGCCGCTTCTGTTGGCATCGCATTCGCACAGACGAGAACGGCCTCTGCCCCGCCTGCAGAAAGGTGAGGAGATGATGAGATGGATATGAAGGCAGAGGAACTCATCACGACTGACAGGGGATTTTTCTTTAGTGACAACAGAACTGATGATAACACCAACTCTCCAAATATTAATCTGGGGGAGAGATACACTTTGGTTTTGCCCTCTAAAGCAGCCTGTTAGTTCAAACTTTAGATCATAGTCGTTTACAGCCTCGACAGATTTGATTTTAATTGCACACGAATAAGACAGAATAAAATCCAGGAAATACGAAATGTGTTTCTTGAGAGTTCATGAAGCCATTGACTTAAAAAACAGACCTCCCCTCCACGTTAGGATAACAAACTAACAAGAAAAGGAAATTCTGCAAGACAACATGAAGCACAAAAACTAACCAACTATATAAAAACAAAGAAATAGTTTTTAAATAATACTAAAGAAAACATACTGTTTATACATATCAAACATGTAATACTAATAAATCATATACTGACATGATGTTCAGCTTGGCTAGTAATGCCTGTTGGACTACTATGTTGACAACCAAAGGCCTCAGTTACTCACTAACCTTTACGAAACAACTAGAATAGTATAATTGTTTGATATCTCTAACATATTTCTCCTCTTTTGTGTAGCCTTACCCAGAGGACCCCGCTGTGTACAAGCCCCTGTCACAGGAGGAGATCCAAAGGATAAAGAACGAAAAGAAGCAGAAACAGAACGAGAAGAAGCAGAAGGTGACAGAAAACCGAAAGCACCTGGCCAGTGTCCGAGTGGTGCAGAGAAACCTGGTGTTCGTGGTCGGGCTCTCGCAGCGACTCGCCGACCCAGAGGTGAGTTCAGGGGCTCCAAAAGCTCAGTGGTTTATGCTAGATGTGACTTAATAGTGTTGAAACTGTTTTAGCTTGATGTGAATACGGCTGTGACAAACTGAAGTAAACGGCTGCTAGATTTATTTTGACAGGCATTCTCATAAATACATTAGTATCTTTAATGCACATTTTAAAGGCCTTTCAGTGACAAGCTCCCTCTGAAGCCTTCCGTTTAATTATTTTCTTTAATTGTTTTTAAGAGTTCACACTGCACCCGAAACTTTGTGATAAGTGATATATTTTGTTCATTGTGCTCACAGGTCCTAAAACGACCAGAGTATTTTGGGAGGTTTGGGAAAATCCATAAAGTGGTCATCAACAATAGCACATCATACGCAGGGTCACAGGTAAGAGGTTCAATGCCATCTACAATATGTATCCAAGATGTCTGTTTCTGAATAGGACCAGAACATAATCAATTAAATGTTTCTCTTTAACAGACACATGTTAACCCCTTTGTTGTAAACACATTATTTCTGTCTTTTTAGTCATTTTAATTGCATATTATGTCGTTTTTCCCCCTTTTTCTTTAGCATATCTTTTCTTACCCGTCATTATTGCAATGTGAGGAATCAATGTTAGAAATCCTTATTCATTGCTTTCCTGGAATACCTCTGTAAACAGAGTTATTCCGCTTCAACGGATGTGTTTGCCTTGTATGTTTACTTACATTTTCTGTTTTTACAGGGGCCGAGTGCCAGCGCTTATGTCACTTACATCCGCTCTGAAGACGCGTTAAGAGCAATACAGTGTGTAAACAACGTGGTCGTTGATGGGAGAACACTCAAGGTGAGACGTTAGAAACTGCTTTTCTCATGTGACTATGATAAGGAGTTTTATTTGTATAAAAGCCATGTGATAACTTTATTCTATATTTATTTCTCTGTCAAATGTAAACATCATTTAACCCTTATGTTGTGTTCGGGTCTCCTGTGACCCGTTTCAAGTACAAATGATATAATAACTACGCTCTAGTTTTTTGTATCGGAACAAGGCTTCATGATATCCTCCACAACAGCTATATAAACACTACAAAACAGATTTTGACCATTTTTGCCAAGTCTGAAAGTCTCTAAAAAAAAAAGAAAGTGTATCATTTGGTGTTGGGGTCTGGGGAGACCCGGCAGAATTGTTTTGGGTGACTCGAGGTCAAATTTGACCCACTCAAGATTCACCTTTGACTTTAGACACCCCTCCCCCTCCCCCACCATCCACTGTAACAATACTTTTTCGCAACATGCACCTGGTCTCCCCTCCCTCTGCCCCCCCCACAGAAACTCGACCTTTCTCAAAGAATATGTACACTAACACTTGAACCTGAACTCACACATGCACGTGTGCAATATGTGGTGTAATGTGTTTTGGGCCATAACATTAAATTAACAGGATTGTACGGCTATGAATGTTTATAAGTTAGTTATGATGTAGTTAAAACAATATTGGATGATAGTCATTTTTCTGTTGTGTTTTGGACTGAGATAAATCATGGGTCAAAATGTACCCGCGAACACTATGAGCGGTAACAGCTTTCGAACACAACACGCGAGTTAAACAACCCGCTTT